ATTTCTCCTCACAGTAGGGTTGTTTACAGCACACGCGATTTCCGGTTAGCTTCTTAGCTTASCCTCTGTCACAGCAACATACGTCGCGGCCAATCGATCCAATCATTTTAAACTTCAGCAGAGGCCACGCCTCCAGCAAGAATCGCTTCTCTATAGCCGAGAGTCCAGACCCTCGTATGAAGCATAGTGAAGGACAAGGGTCTGGTTTTTACCAGGCTAATCACTTGAAATTTTATGTTTTGTTGTATAGCTTGCAATGAGCATCTTTAAGTCTTCTTTCAAAATTCATCTGAGCATGTTTTTTATCCACATCCTAAATGTGTTTCAGAAAATTCATTGACACTTGTTCTCTCAGAGGATGTAAAGAATATGTTCACACACACACTCAGAACCCCTGTGCCACTTTTACAAAATTTTCCAATCAGATTTGAAGCTGTGACACTTTTTTTCTGTTGCTTGGTTTCTTGTTCTGTCTAAAGTCAGCACGTGAAATTTAACTTTACATCTCTGTTAAAGATTCTCAAAGTCCAAACTCTGGTGAGGACCAAATGACTGACTTTATATTGCACTACACTGGAATAAAGTGCATGTTTACTACTATTTTAAGAGTGGTTCTGTCTCTTTAAGCTTGCGTAAAGAGACAGAGGTGCATGAGGTGAGCGAGGCCAGAAGCAAGCCTGTGTCTGTATGCTCAGTGTGGGAATTGGAGCAGACTTAGCCAGGAAAATTAGCTGTGAAAAGTTGAATTTCTGGAGGTAAATGGCTGCAATAAGAGCATTAAATGCTACARTTCTTCTTACTATCTGAGGCTGTTTGTGTAACAAAAAGTGGCAGGTTTTTAGCTAAGATTTAGTAAAAGGAGTCGACCTTCTAAGCCAGCGGACAAATACAACTGCCCCCCAAAACTCACTGCMAAAAGTTCCATTTCTTCCAGACAGGAAGCGGAGATGATAGCAACAACTCACAACAGCTACTAAAGCTGTAAAATTGCARTTTCTTCTTTATGTCTTTATCAACAGCTTTAGTGTCCTCCATAAACTTGTGGTCCATGCTCGGTGCGCTCTCGCTACTGGATCTGAATCAAAGCATTTTCAAGATCCGAGGCCTGCCCCCACCCTAATTCTGACTGGCCAGTAGGCCTATCTAGTGTGACTGAGAGCGAAAGCTGCTTCTCTGTTAGATCCAGGGAAATGTCTGGTAAATCTCCGGGCGAAGCCAATTGTAAGTTATTTTTGTGCAGGTAAGCCAAAGATCTGGCATCAACCCTGWGGGTGTTKTTACACAGAAATGTAGCAAAACTGAAGAGGTCGTTGAAATGACACCCCTCTAGCCTGAACAGCAGGTTGTAGACTTGTAGATGTGATGGAGTGGTGACCTATCCAGGGTGTACCCCAGCTCTTGCACTGTGACKGCTGGGTATGGGCAACAGTGACCCCCATGACCCTGAAAGGAATAGGCAGGTTAAGATAATGCATGGATGGATGTAGACTTGGCCTTTGTTGGTGTCATTATCAGAAACTTCAGCAGATTAAACATTATTATGTCACAACGRCATGGAGTTATCTATTGGCACATCTGGACGGAAGAAGACTTAAAGACGAGTGAAAGAAGAAACAGTCTTAGCACATGTCTCAGCAGTAAATATAGTAAAAAGCTTACAGCTGCTTAACAAATGAATATTGAAGTCAGTTATGCTGTCTGACATCATCTCTTGCTAAAGTTTAAGAAGCTCATTGAAGGCAAATGGTGCCATACATACACATTGTATTTTTACTGTTAGAGCATCTGTATTTTTACCTCAGACACTCTGATGTTGCAGAGCCTTGTTTCCTTTAAGTTCAGCCTATTTAATACGTTTGTTCTAATGTAGAAGCAGTCGTTTTAATTTGTTGAGGCGTTAAAAGCAATTAAGGTTATCACATTAAGGTTAAATTTTTGTTACAAAACTGCACTGASGAATCAAATGTTAGAGCAGCTTAGTTTCACAAGCAAAAAGTAACTTTTCTCTAGGTTATAAGCAAGCATATTTTCTTATTGGTTATCGTTTTTGACCTTTTGTAAAACTTGGGTTTGGATCTAAAGCTTGAGCAGCTCTTTTGCTTGGAGAAAAAAGTCAGTTTAAAATAGAATTTTTTCATGAATTAGCAGTGACTAAATTTGACCACAGGTGCTGCTATTGAGTAAAAGTTACAATTTACTGCTTTAAGGATAATGATCGCACAACTTGATTAACCCCTTACTCCGGCACAGCTGGTRTGATTCATAGACCTTTTCTCATTAAAACAAAGTAAAAAAATAGAGAAGCAGACGTGAATGTGAGAGTGATGATCACAGAGAGCAAAAATGAAAACAGATAAGAAAAATACAGATCTGATTTAAGAAAATACAAGTTAAATAAACACGTGGAGCCCAGGATCTGTAACTGTGCAGCACCGTTAAAGATTAACAAAAAAAAAGGAGCTGGTGTGAAAAATGTTAAGCATGCAATGATGTCACAGGGCCAGATAAGCAGCATGTTTACCAGAGGGACGGTGTACGCGCAGAGGATGGGGGCGAGAGGCTGCTGGAAGAGCTTAGGTGCGCTGTAGCGTTGCAGGTTCTAATCCACGGTTTCTGGACGTCCCTTTTCTGTCACCCTCTGCTGGATGCTGCCTAATAAAGCAGAAAYGTGCTGAGAAGAAAAGACTCTAAAGCAGGTCAAGTGAAGAAAAGCGAGTAGGGAGAGGAGGGGAAATCAAGTTTTGAAAGCAAAAGGGGCAAAGAGGGAGATGCTGTGGGGAGTAGAAAATGACAAAGTGTAAGTAGCAAGGTGGACGGCAATGAAAAATTTAGATTTAGAAACAGCAATGGGTGAAGCGATAGATGGAGAGGAAGAGGAGTGCTTTCCAAAATGGAAGACGAGTGAAGCAGGTCAGCCATACRAGCAGCCTTCGCTGACCAGAGATTGTTGCCTAGCAGCGTGCAAGAATAGCTGTTTTCTCCTCTCATCTCCTCTTCGCGCTCCCCCTTCATCCGCCTGCTCCTCCTTTCTCCTCACATCACTCTCAATGCGGTCTCGTTGGCTCTCAATTTTTCCACCACTCTCCTCGTTTCCACTCTTATCCCTGCGCTCTGCTCACTCACTCCACTTTCTTTACTTCGGCCCGGGGCTTGTGTGTGTGTGTGTGTATGTGTGTGTGTGTGTGCAGCTTCCTCTGCATGTAAAGCTGCTTGATGCAGCTGTTCCACCGGCTTTGCGCAGCATCAGGATTACATGGCACATGTGGAGCCCATGTTCTCCTACGTTCAGATTCAGGATGACACATGGATTCGGGCTCAGACGTTTTTCTCTGTGAGAAAGATGGTCTGGTGCTAGAAGTTTTAAAATGAGCAAGTTTTGACATTTGATCACAGAGCGGTTCATGTGTTGTACGATATGATATTGATACATTTCTGTTCCACAAATTAATCATTTTTTCCTTTGCTACAATGTCTAACAGGGATTGAGTTTATACATTATTTATATACTTTACCTATAACCATTATTATTATTGCCTGAAGAGGAAATTGTTATAGTGTTCGCAAAAAATCACATAAAATTCTAAACAGATCTATAATTGATTAAATTTTGGAGTCTTTCCAACCCTCATAGCAGACAGGTGTAGGCCGGATGTCAACTTGGCACTGCAGGCTGACTGCTGCCATTGCAAGTGGTTTGTCAACCGGATGTGAGCCAGGTTGGGCAATGAGGTCACTTTTTTTTAAAAATAAACGACATGCCACAACTGGCCCGGTTGTGGTTTGATTTATGTGATGCTGGCTCATACATGGTCACCAAAGTAGAAAGAATATTAACACTTTATATCTTACCTGTTGAAGAGCATGATATTTGAACGCTTCAGTTTAGAGGAGAATTAAGTCTCACCAAATTTATGATACAACCAGTCTGAGTTGGGCCARAATGTTTTGGTTTTACTTTAAACACCTTAAATGTGTATATTTGAAAAATCATTTTGTTAATTTTGCATATGAATTATTGCAGCAGTATGATTATGTTCCTGCTGGGAGTGGTTCAGACAACAGAAATGCTACATCTAGGATTTTAAAACCAGTGTTTCCCCTACCATTATACAGGCGCTGATCACTTATTATCAATAAGAATTTTACTGACAATTATCATAAGGATTCCTTAACTAGGATGTAGTTAGGCAATTAAATATTCATGTATGTGTAAATTTATTACCGTAATTGCAGGTGAGTCACGTGAATTAATGTTTAAAGTCCCCCCACCCTCCACCAAGACCAATTTCCCAGGGTAAACACTGAAAACAATGTTCATTTGAAGCACTTTTGGAGATTTGAGTTGTTTTAGGRCAGCAGAAATCTATTTTGGCCTGCTTCTGTTTTCTGACTCAGAATTAGTTCATCAGTTTGGTCAGAATTAAACTCCGTTTCTTCAAACGGGYGTCATTCAAAAAGCTCTCTACAATAGGTAAAATATTTATTTATAACCCTTCCTCAGAACACGACTGAAAAATAATCTGAGCTGTTATTTTAAGTAAAATAGAATTMTTTTAAGACAGTTAATGTACTGTAATCATGCTTACATAATAGTGACTACCGTATATACAGTGTATACTCAACTGTCCGTTTTCCTCAGCATTAAACATTTATTCATTTCCTGTATTTATGCTTGGGAGGGTGGGTGAACTACCTCTTTAAACAATTTATTATACTGTAATACCTAAAACTCCCCCACAAACCAAATAATTCCACTTATTTTAGTCTTACATCCTTTTGTTGACATAAAGTTGGTATTATTAAACTGAAATATGAAAAGTTAAACATTTACAAATCTTTATTTAGTCGTACTTGAATTGATTTGTTTGCCTATTGATGCACGTTTGACCCTTTCTCTCAGATAACTACTGAAGTGCGGTAAAGTTCAAGTGTGTTTTTCTAAAAGCTGGTCTATCGGAGTCTTTAATTATAATAAAGTGTTTTGTTTCCTTGTTTTCTAGGAGGTATGCCAGTGCCTGAGGTGGCGTCTGCCGGTGCCAGCGCTGCCGCCATGTTGAGCCCCGTCCTCAATGCCTCCAACGGAGACGGCTCCGAGTCCGAAACCACCTCTGCCATCCTCGCCTCCGTCAAAGAGCAGGTTGGAAGTCTTTGTTGCRTTCGCCTCCGAGTCCATGTTTGTGCATAAACACGTGAGAGGCTGTCACATTTAATGAAAGATGAACACCAGAAAGTAGAGAGGATAATTCCTCCGGTCCTCTCTGGGAAAAACAAGGTGACAGTAAACAGTAAACACAAGTGATGGAATGCCCAACTAAGCCAGTGTGTCACAAATATGCCATAGCATGTTGATTTAGAGAGCCTTAAGCTACAGCTGTGGGATKTGATTTTTATTTTATTTTATTTTTTTTACCCTGAAGTGTTGGAAGGCATCATTTCTACACATTCTGACCAAGTTTGAGGCACCTTTTGTTGGCGTGACTGCGTGTGATGAGGCAGCACAAAGATGAGACAAAGTCACCTTGATTTTTATTTTCAGAAAAGCTAAAATTAATCTTCAGAGTTGAACTGTTTGATGATCATTATAAAATAATGAGCGTTAGAATATTCATCGCAGTGTTCAGACGTTACTTAATATGTTCATGGTTTGTAACGCTTTCATTTTTGGCTCTGATACAGTATTGGAGGCAATCTGATTTTAAATCAATGTGCTTAGTCCGGAAAGTTTCTTCTCCCGTGTGATGGAAACAGGATCCATGCGTGCCTCATTGTCAAGCTTTTAACATGTGAGTCACATGAAGCCAATTAGTGCACAAGGCAGAATGTGAATATATTACTGGATCTAACAAAACGTTTTGGCTGAAAGTATCCAAATTAGAATTTTATGTGTTTTTGCACTCACTGATAATTTCATTTTTGACAGATCCCTGAGCATTTTGGGCAGGGGCGCACCAGAGAGGTGAACAGGGGGTGCATTGCTCCCTGCCTTCAAAAAATGGGTGGCCCCTGCCTTRGTCAGCTTTTAGTTTTATCCTATTGAATCCCAAATTTTGCTTGGTTTGCATTTACATTTTTTTCTAGCTATTTAGGTTCAGTGGTACCTCCTAAACATAAAAACAAACATTGTTTTTGAGCAACAAGGAGTTAAAATAKAAATAGAAATTTTCTTTAAAATTAAACATAGAACTTGAAATTTAGTCATCCTGACAACAGATCTAATGTCCTCAACATTAGGATGCAGTATGCGGCACCAAGCATAAAATAAAATAAAAATGTTGCTAACACTTTTTTCATTATTTAGCTCATTTTCTGAGTGTTAAAATTTTTCCACTAACATTTAATTGTTAAATTTAAATGTTAAAAAATATGTAAATATTAAATCCTGAATCTAAATGTGAAAGTTAAATGATGAAGTTCACATTTTGGAATGGATCGCAGCCTCTTCTGTTGGCGCTTGTCTCTTAGGACGTCATCATCCTGAGTCAATAGCAACTGCTAGCGCTTCAAAGCTTCCCTATAAGACATCAACCTTGCATTGCAGTCAGTGTCTGAGCTGCACGTTAAGCTTCTGGACCACAGGTACCACCCATATTGTTTCAATGAACACGTTTTGAATTTAGATTTAAAATACCATCTTCAGCAGCGTTAGAAGTATTAGCAGTCAGGGCCGGATTAACACTTCGCTGTACCCTGGGCAACAATATTCAAGGGCCCCATCATCACGACCCCAGGATTACCA